TGTATACTTACATATTTTTTATTTATTTTTATAAATAATTTATCATGAATATCCTAACCGTTCAAATTGAAACTTATATCAGTTCAAACTCAATTCTTTTCCCAGGGCGGCAGTCAATAAAGGCAAACAAGGTTTTTTGTGTAACGTATCGGTTTATTCAATCATCATCAGAATAAAATGTACAAACTTACTTAAGCTTAAATAGAATTATACCTTTAGCCTGCTGAACGAATAAACGAATAAATAAACCGAAATGATACACAAAGAAACATTGTTATAATTGTTTGACCGCCAATCTGGAAAGTAACAGTAAGCTTTTATAAATATTAAATTATTAAAAGTTTGATATAAAGAAGGTGCATTTACATCCTAATTCTATTACTACGTATGAATTTTATAAAATAAATGTTTTTATTCTTCTTGCTTTTCTGCTATATACTTCTCAATAATATTTCTCTCATCCTTTTTAGACCATCTTTTCCTTCCATTTCTTGTTGTTAAGTATACATCTCTCAAAAACAGTGTCTCTGACTCCAATTTAGATAACCTGCATGTTTTCTTATCTTTTTCTTCTCACTACTTTGACGTCTTATTTTGTTAAATCAATGCAATAATGTTATATATTTATTGAAANCTACGTATGAATTTTATAAAATAAATGTTTTTATTCTTCTTGCTTTTCTGCTATATACTTCTCAATAATATTTCTCTCATCCTTTTTAGACCATCTTTTCCTTCCATTTTAATTTCCCATTTTTTTGTACCATTTCCTGTTATTCCACATCTCGCAAAAATATGTTCGAGCGTCTTTGGTTCCAATTTATACAGCCTGCATATTTTCTTCTCTTCTTCTTCTTCGCAGTACCTTACCGCCCTATTCTCACTTTCCAGTTTAAATCTAATTCCCTTTCACTCTTTGTTCTTTCGTCTTTCAAATAATTTGGTTTTTCGCCCCTTTTTTTCCAGCTAAAGAAAAAAAGGAAGGAATACATAGAAAAAGAAGAAATGAGAACAGAATACTATGAATATAAGAAAAAATACAAAAAAAGTAATAGAAGAAAGAAAAAGCAAGATATTGAAAAAGATTACATAGAAACAAGAAAGGACAGAACGGCAAAACGTTCTGGGGATTAATTAATGGACAAAGAACGAAAAAGGAAAGCATAAGTAAAAATATAAAGATGGAGGGAGGAATGGATTGAGTACTTTTCCAAACAATTGGGAGGAACAATGGTAGAAGAAGAAAGAAATGAAAAAAGTAGGGATAGGGAAACAACATTAAAAGAAGTAGAAGAAACAATCAAAAAGCCAAAAGAGAAAAAGGCGGCAGGAAATGACAATATTAAAAATGAGGCATGGATGTACGAGCGACTAGAAATAAATAGGGATTTACAAGCAGTACTAAATGAGTTATAGAATTGAGATGAAGAACTTCCAAAAGAACGAAAAATAGAAATAATAAAGCCAGTTTACAAGAAAGGAGACAGAAATGAGGTGAAAAATTACAGAGGAATAATACTCAGAGCACAGATTACAATATCTACACTGAAATACTTTGAGAAAGACTTGAGAAAGAATTAGAAGATAAAAGGTACTAGAGAAAAAACAAGGCAGTATTGACGCAATCTATGTAATAAAAACAGCCTGTGAAGCAAAATTAAAAAAAGAAAAGAGCGAAATTTTCTCCTTTTTTTGCGAACATGAAAAACTCAAAAGGGACATGATATGGAAAATCCTAGAAAAACTAGAAATAGGTAACAAATTAAGAGAGACAGAATAATAGAAACGTACGAAGAAACTTACTTTAAGATTTAGGTCAACGAGGAAAAATCCAAAAAAAATTCAATGAAAGAAGGAATAAGACAAGGTTGTCCACTAAACACCGCACTTTTTAACGTGTCATTTACAGATTTAGAAAACAAATTAAGCGCAGTACAATAAGGAGGAATAGTAATTCGTAGAACAAAAATCTGGTCAGTTTCATATGCATATTATTAGTAAACAACGAAAGAAGGCTGAAAGAGATGATGCAAAAATTCAATAAATATATAAAAGAGAGAAGCTGGAATCAAATACACATAACTTAAAAATTTTAAGCGTAAAAAATCAGGAGGAAGAAAAAAGAACTTAGAATTCTACTGGGAAGGAAAAATAATCGAAGAAGTTACAGAGTTCAACTGCCTAGGATTCGTACTGCAACAAAAAAATAGAGTAGATGGACACATATAAAAAAACTAAAGAAGAAGGTAATGGGGATAATGGGGAAAGGTATGGGTAATAAGATGAAGAAATTTTACGATCAAAGAGAGTTGGAAAAAAAGAATGTTCCTATTGTACGAAACGGAAATATTAGGGTGGGAAAAAAGAAAAGAAATTAAAATGATTCAAGGCAGATACAGATTCAAGATGCATACGATGGATTTTAAAGATAAATGTAAATATACCAAAATAGCTACCTCTTATACGAAGGAAAGAGGATAGGCGATCACGCACTACAGATGAAATGTATGGAAAAGCTGGAAATTTTAACTAAAGACATTGATAAAAAAAAAAGAAGAGAAATAATGAGGAACAGGAATATAAGAAAATATGGAAAGACTGGGAAATGAGAATAGGACGGTAAGGTACTGAGAAGAAGAGAAAAAAATATGAAGGCTGTGTAAACTGGAACTATAGAGATGCTCGAAACATATTTCTGAGAGATGTGGAATAACAGGAAATGGTACCAAAAAATGGGAGGATGAGCGACAAAATACATATTATGAAGGAGGAAAAGAACAAAAAAGGGACAAGAATAAAAATATTTAATTTGTAAAATTCATATGTAGTAGTAGAATTAATATTTAAATACACCTTGCATGTATAAAACATTGTTTTTAATAAAGCTATCTATCTATTAACTATTATTTCTTATCGGTATCAGGAAAGGTTTCATTTTTCCTTAGCCCTTAATAACAGAGGTAATAAAAAATACTAACGATAAAAGGTCTCGAATGAAGTTTTATAAATTAATGCTTTTTTAATTATGAAATTCGTAAAGTTCTGTTTAAATCTAAATCTATTGTATATTCAAGCATGCACCAATTTGATTAATAGAAATGCCATTTCCAAGAGGTAAAACGGAAAAGCTAGTAAAGGCAGCCTTTCTATATACCATTGTGAAGTATTATTCCGTTTCCTTTTTTCCTTGTTCTAAGCGAACAATGAAGAGCAATTTCATTTTCTTGACAAGTCGTTTAAACGTGATTCAGTCCTTTTGTAACAGGATTATTTGTTCCAATGAATTTACTTATTTCTTTAATGAAGATCGAAACGAACCTTTGTCACATTATCACTTAATTACTGAAGATGCGAATCGACCGAAACGTCCCGGAATACTTGTTGATTGCTGTTCATTGTAGAAAGTGTTCTTCGCAATTAGCTATGAAGAAATGAACAAAAAAATTGAAGAAATTAACTACCACAACATGAATTCAAATCCAAATAAAATCAATAAAGATTTGATACTGTTACGTACAAGCATGTGGATGATAATCGATACAAATACACTGACTTTACCGACGGCTGTTGAGTATGTCTGTACGAACGAGTGGCACATATTTGCCGCATAACAATAGGAGTTCCAAAATTCTGGAAAAGATTGAAGACTGTCCCAGAGAATTAGATGATAATATAAATAAGTTTCTGGACGACAGCCTCAGTTTGTTAAAAAATTGTTAATTATGAGCGAATTCCAAGTGTTATATAGGTACAGTGATGTGTACATAAGCATTATAAATACCGTGTGATATAAATAAGCAGTAGTTTAAGGCCTAATTAGTGTTATCATGTAATAGCTGTAAAAATAAACACGCGAGAAATAAATCGAATTATTACTGGAAAATTCTGTACAATACGATTAATACTCATCTGTAACAGGAAATTTTTAAACAATTGTTATCTATATTTGAACTCATTCTCATAATAAATTTTAAAATTACATATTTACTTCTCAAGTTTATAAATTATCGCTGTCACGAGCTCTCAAAAATGTCTTGTACTCAA